GCATTTGTTCTTTTAGACTTTGTTTTATAATAAAAAGATAGCTCAAATTGTTTATACTAACCTGCCATTTTTATATCTTTTTTAGTTCTGTCAGCCAAGTCTCTTTAAAAAAATCTACTTTAATACTGTAAAGGCACATACACAGTACACTTGTTTCTGAAAATACTTCAGCATAAGAGAATTACTTAATAGAATCAAGGAGAACAATTTTTCCCCCTCTTCCTTGTAATACCCTTTTAGATACTTGTTTCCATATTACCCAAAAGTTTGATTATGTCTAAAAATATTGGGTCAGAAGTTCCACTCAAGTAAATCAGGTTAGCTCAATGGACATCAAAGGAGCTATACTTATTTTTTAGCAAACGTGAATCTAGATGTTCATCAAATATGTGTGTGCTTCTGTTAAATGAGAATTAACTACGTTTACCTGACAAATGTTAGTTAGGCTAATTTTACCATCTAAGTCCAAGGATTTTCGCTCTCTGACCAGGTCTTGGCCTGCAGTCCTCACTTGCTAAGAATGATTACCTCAGAAAGCCTGATATACTTTCACGACCTGCTTTTCAGGTCCCAGTAGTTTCCAGTCAACAGACAGTCTTCTTTAAGCAAAGTATTGCTTATTTAGGAAAAAAGCATTTTAGAGAAAATCACCTTATAGCAAAGCTGACCCTGTTTGTATAAGCTTACTACCATTTCTGAGGAGCCAGAAAAGGCTTCAGTTGCTTCCCGACACTGTCAGGAACTGTATGTGTAGTCTCTCTCCGTCTGCAATAGCAGAAACATTATGGGTGTGTCTAGACTACATGCCTCCTTCGACGGAGGCATGTAGATTAGCCAGATCGGAATTTCAATTATCTCCTGCACCTCTCCTCAGCATCACAGGGTATCAGGCACTCCAGAGTACCAGACCTCTCCTAAAAGCTCTATCTTGGTTTCTCAAGGAATTTCAAATCGAGTTCAAAGTCTCAGTCCTTACCTCCAAGTCATTCCATGTCCAGGACATCAAAACAAACACATAAGCTTCAGGATGAAGATCACAGTTAATAACTTCAATCATTGGGCACAGCAGAATTATCTACTTTAAGGATAATATTTAGCTGAGCAGGAGACAGAACTTCCTTAAGACCGTGGAATGATCTCCCCCAGAAATTGCAGGCTACCACAAATCTCACCACTTTCCATTCCAAGGGCAAGGCACTTTTTTACACAACCTTCTCTTACATAAATATATAGCAGCATGTATATTTATATTTCAAAAACAAAAAAATCAAGCAAAAATCACACCCTCAAAACATAAAGCAGAACAAGAGGATGTGTAGTCGCACTGATTAATACAGGACAATGTAGCACTTTAAAGACTAACAAGATGGTTTATTAGATGATGAGCTTTCTATCGTGATGAGCACTATTGTAAAACTGTATAGAATAGAAGGCAACTGGTTCTGACTCCACTGCTGATGGTATCTGCTGTCACTCTAGTAACTGCAAAAACCAAAGAGAGCAGCAGCTCAGTGGTATGGCTCCAGTCCCTCAAACTGTTCCATACATGCAGACCCTTACAGCTACAGGAGTTCCACTTAACATCAAGGGGATCCCAGAGGAATGCCCTTGACTACTCACAAGCAGCAGCTTGCAAGGTGGAATCTGGTGGTGAAAGGTAATCAGAATACCAGTTCTGATTTAAAGGCTGAAAGGGAGCTGTCAGTTAGACTATGGTTCTCACCCACAGCTTAATACAACTGCATTACAGCAAGCCAAGTGATAAAGGTCCAGCTGTGTATAACAAAGTACACATCTGAGAGAAATACAATATTTGTGTCAAGAACAGATACAAGAAAAAATGGCCCTGCCACAAATGCTGCCTTAGAATCCAGAAACAGAGAGTCCAGAACTACCAAACTGCTAACCTCTTTGACAGACAGTGGCCAAAGCACCTTGACAGACATAGCACATTGCAATCTTGGTTGCTCTGGTTAGTCTGGGCAAACCAGATTAATTTCCATATAACCTGGACTGAGATAAAATCTGTTTGCCATAATCTTTTGTTAACCAGGCATTGGCACAATCACTGTATCATCCAAGTTTAATGAAGGGGAGTTATTTCCTTAAAATTCATATTTAGTTCCATACCTGAAATTCAGTGTCAAACAAAATTTTAATTTGTGAAATTCCCATTAGACCTTCATATAACTGGGATTTACTTGAATCCACAATTAAACTATTTAATGTTCATACTAAAGTACGAAAAATAGAAGAGAAAAATTACTGAACAGTCAAGAGAAATCCTTGAAATTAAAAAAAAAAAAGCAAAAATAAAACCACAGTTACACTGGGCAGAAGAAAAGAAGAACAGACAGCTCAAATAAAAGGAAATGTATTTACAGAATTTACTGTAATTTTTATTTGCACTCTTATATTTCTTCCTCACATTGTTTTTTAATTTTTCATTGCATTCATAGGATCATAGAATACTAGAATCGGAAAGGACTCACAACAGGACCAAGCACTGTCTAGAATAGAATCAAGGAGAACAATTTTTCCCCCTCTTCCTTGTAATACCCTTTTAGATACTTGTTTCCATATTACCCAAAAGTTTGATTATGTCTAAAAATATTGGGTCAGAAGTTCCACTCAAGTAAATCAGATTAGCTCAATGGACATCAAAGGAGCTATACTTATTTTTTAGCAAACGTGAATCTAGATGTTCATCAAATATGTGTGTGCTTCTGTTAAATGAGAATTAAATACGTTTACCTGACAAATGTTAATTAGGCTAATTTTACCATCTAAGTCCAAGGATTTTCGCTCTCTGACCAGGTCTTGGCCTGCAGTCCTCACTTGCTAAGAATGATTACCTCAGAAAGCCTGATATACTTTCACGACCTGCTTTTCAGGTCCCAGTAATTTCCAGTAGGGAGTAGGGGGGAGAGGTTGGTTTCTGTCTAACCTAAACCTCCCTTGCTGTAGTTCAAGCCCATTGCTTCTTGTCCTAACCTCAGAGGCCAAGGAGAACAATTTTTCCCCCTCTTCCTTGTAATACCCTTTTAGATACTTGTTTCCATATTACCCAAAAGTTTGATTATGTCTAAAAATATTGGGTCAGAAGTTCCACTCAAGTAAATCAGGTTAGCTCAATGGACATCAAAGGAGCTATACTTATTTTTTAGCAAACGTGAATCTAGATGTTCATCAAATATGTGTGTGCTTCTGTTAAATGAGAATTAACTACGTTTACCTGACAAATGTTAGTTAGGCTAATTTTACCATCTAAGTCCAAGGATTTTCGCTCTCTGACCAGGTCTTGGCCTGCAGTCCTCACTTGCTAAGAATGATTACCTCAGAAAGCCTGATATACTTTCACGACCTGCTTTTCAGGTCCCAGTAATTTCCAGTCAACAGACAGTCTTCTTTAAGCAAAGTATTGCTTATTTAGGAAAAAAGCATTTTAGAGAAAATCACCTTATAGCAAAGCTGACCCTGTTTGTATAAGCTTACTACCATTTCTGAGGAGCCAGAAAAGGCTTCAGTTGCTTCCCGACACTGTCAGGAACTGTATGTGTAGTCTCTCTCCGTCTGCAATAGCAGGCACATTATGTGCTGATCCCCTTCCTCTCTCTCTCCCTCCCTCCAAAAAGTCCATTTAATTATTTAGCTCTGGTCTACACTAGGGCTTTATTTCAAAATAACCTCCCTTATGTCAAATTTATAAGCAGAGCATCCACTATGTAACATTACACAAAATAACATTTGAAATAGCATTTCAAAATAACAGGCCACTTATTTCAAAATCTGTATGCCTGCTTTTCTTGGGGAATAACACTAATACCAAAATAGTATTAGTGTGGACACTCTGGTGTGGCTATTTAAAAAATAACTATTCCCCAGAGTAATTTAAACTAATTACTTTCCTGTTCTGGGGTTCTAAGTCAAAGTAGCGCATCCACACTAACCGAGCCTGCCTCAGACTAATTTCAAGCCTCCTCCATTGTGGGGACAGGATAGTTCAATTTTGCTAACTCAGGAGTTATGTTGATTTTAGTAATTTTGCAATAATATAGACATGCCCTTAGTGTTCCTTTGATCTCTAGACTCACAGCCTTGACAAAACAGTGTAACTTCAGGCTGGATATTAGAGGTAGACTATTGACTGGGATGAATTGCCTCCCAAGTGTTTCTTGGGAGGCTGCTTATCCCTAGCGATTGCATTGCTTTCCTGTTTGTCTTTCCAGCAGCTCCCTACTAAGTTAGGAAAATATCTTCATGCAGGGAAGTCCAATGTAGCTACACTAACTTTCTGGAAGGATTGGTATTTCTTTGTTCTACTAGGACCCCATAAGACTGATGGGTGACTCCTGGTATGCTTAGTCAGTATGTGTTTACATTTCTTTGATTTGTAAAAGTACAATGCTTTTACTGAAAGAATGAATGTGCTTGCTAAGAAATAGCTGTGTCCTAAATTGTAACTGTTGATAATACACTGCTCAGCATCCTCAAAGAGAAAGCAAAGCACAGCTAATGGGTGTTTGCTGATTGGCTTGCTGCGGGATATCACAACGTAAGGCCAGGAGCTGCGCTGCCTTAAAACCCCCAGTCAGGATAGAATGGGACAAGTGTCACTGCCCAGGCACAGGAGACCACTGAAGACCTGAGACCTGGATGGGCACTTCTGGAATGAACCATCTGTGTGTGCAGGGGGAGAAGGGAAGAGAGATGCAGTTAATCTAAAAGTGTTGACACCTGTTACTAGAGTACCATTTGTAATGACAAAGATGTTTAAAGGTGAAGAATAAATACAAACTGAAGACAGTTATGCACAGACTTCTACACTGAATGTCTCTGCAACCCATTTGTTGAATAGTATTTAGCACAGAAAATGGTTTTATATTTCTTTTTAAAATTTAATTTCCTTCATAGTGAAAACCATTTTCTACTTCTCGATTGATCAGAAGTAACGCTAAGTGCACTACTGCATGCATTGCATTGAATCTTCTGGTACTTACAATTCTGTGATGTCATATTTTGAAGTTTCACCGCTGTTCAAGCTGTATTTTCACATGGTGAGGCATTTCAGGATGCTTGCAATAAACCAAGAAGTACCAAAATACTTTTACAAGAGGAAAATATATATATATTATGTCATCTAATTTTCCAAAAGACATTATTCTTACTGTTCTTTTTTTCATATTCCCTATAAGAATATAAAAACATTAATGGCCATACTGGGCCAGACCAAAGGTCCATTTAGCCCATTATCCTGTCTTCCGACAGTGGCCCTGAATTGTTTTTTTTTTTATTCTGCCTGCCGGTAAGTCTATATTTCATATAATTTCTTTAATGATTCTTTTCATCTGCCCCTTTTTCACAGTTCTCTTAAAAATATTCAAACACAACTCTTATGTTTAGATCAAACTTTTGAAGCCATGATATTTAAATGCTTTCCAAAATTAGTGTACCCATCCCTGCTTGTAATAAGCACAGTTAAAAATGAACACCACACTGGGAGTGCTGAAAAGAAAATATCGGAATTTTCAAAAACATTCTAAATATGTGTGTGTGTGTGTGTGTGTGTGTACAGACAAGGTTAATATTTAAATGCATATATTTACGAGAATCTGTGTGTCCTCTTGCTTTCACTGTGTATGCTGCCTTGATTATCTTCCTTGTAATTATACCTGCCTGTCAAATTTCTCAGACATCATTTTCTACTCTGGTATTGTATAAAGATGGTGCCGAGAGGTTCACCTGTATTTGTGTGACTGATTTACTTCATTTTATTTTCTCACTTTCAAATTCAGTGACCAGACTAACCAAAGAAGTCCTGTAGGAATTACACCTGATAATAGATAAGTGCTCTGGCAGATTTTCAGGTAAACATACAATGAATGAGAAGATACAGAATGAATGGAGCATTCCCTTACTGTAGACAGCAGTGTCTAAGTTTGGAATTTATTTCTATAGGCAAGTTTAACAACAGGGGAAAAGACTATAAATGCCCTTCAGCAAAAATGAATAGGAGGAAGTAGGAGAGAGCTCACATCTCTTGCCTTAAGATATCTAAATACATTATCTCTTTCCCATAGCTGTCAATGTCAACTTTGATCACTAATGTATTACCTTGGCAGAAAGATAATCTAACTCTATCCTTAAATCTTTGTGCTTATGCAGTGCATATCTTCCTAGTGCAGTCCCAATATACAAGCCCAGCTGCATTCTACATCATTTAATAAAGCACATTAACTGAATCATCTCTTCACATAAGAGAAATGTTAAGCCTGAAATCAAGTGTCATTTGTTTTTCTTTATATTAACATTTCATTTTTTTCCATTACTGCAACACCATTTTTAAAGGGATGCCATTCACCTTCACACCATGTTAAAAATAGTTTACTTAGTAGGACAATCTATTATTGGGCATTAATAGATCCTTAGAGACTTTTGCAGTAAAAATGCTCATATTGACAATATAAAATTTCAAACCACACCAAGCACTGACCAGTGGTTTAACTCCCATTTAGAGTGCAATCCAATGATCTTCTGAGAGCTGATAATCAGCATATGTCAATCTAGAAATCCTTTCCAGAATTGTATGCTTCACAGGTAAGGTGTCATCATATTAACAGTATAATCAAAGCAGGGTGCTTTGCCTATGCCTATAGTTGTCTAGAACTTTTCCATTATAACAACCTATTGTTAAAATTCAACCATTTGGTTTAAAATTTTCCATGAAAAGTGTCTGCCTAGGGCAGATATGTGAACATTTCGGCAAGAATGGGTCACCCATTTCTCAGAATGAGATGAAGAAAAATATATTGATTTATCAACATTAAAAGAATCTTAAAACTGTTTAAATGGACTGGCTATCACATGTCCTTGATTTGGAGCCAGGCTTTCAATTTGCAGGAAGATATTTTAGGTTCAAGGTAACAGCGCAACCTTTGCTGTTGCCATGAAAATATACCCCAATTTAGCGCAATCATTAGCTTATCAAAAAAATCAGTTTAGCATATGCTCAGTACAAAACTTGTTAGAGTTTGGCAGTTAAATTCTCCAGGCACCTGAACTAGGCGTGCTCCCTACTCACAGCTACAAGAACTGAGCAGGAGTTTCCATGCAATTGCTCCTCCCAACAGCCAGGGACCACTGTGTTGCTATGCATAGGTATGGAAAGCAGGGATGCTGTTTATTCTGTTCTCTCATTCCTCCCCAACCTTTGCAGGCACCCCAGAGAAAAAGATAGCTGCCTTACTGGAATTCATAGGAGTGAAGAATAGGAGATCAGATGGACACAGAAAGCAACTGGGGAAAGAGAAGACCTGGGCGGAAGGGGGCAGAGGGAGTCTTCTGGGGCTATATGTTGTGGATGTGACAAAAGAAGAAGGGTCTATAATCTTAGATAACATTGCTCTCCAGAACATTAAAAAATCAAAAAAAATTCCCAACATTCTGCTATTGTCAGCAAAAAGCTGTGAAACTCACTGACTAATGGCTGGTTCACATAAGAAATACCAACCTACTACTTCTGTCAGTTACTCTGTTAGCTCAAGTGGCAAAGGCCTGCACTGTGCATCTAAATCATGGGTGGGCAAATACCAGCCCATGGTCCAGGTTCAGTTTACCTTGCAGGTGGCACTACTATATTTACCTGCATGTCCACCGGTATGGGTGATTACAGCTGCCTTTGGCCGTGGATCACTGTATCTAGTTAGGGGAAACTAAGGGAAGCAGTGCCCTAGCCCATGCCACTTTCCTCAGCTCCCATTAGCCAGGAACGGTAATCTGTGGCCAATGGGAGCTGCAATTGCACAGACCTGCAGAGGCACAGATAAATATAGTGGTAGAGGCCCACCAGGGGCTAATCCTGGTGATCTACCACCGTTTTATTGCCTACACCTTATTTAAATAGTCTAACCCTGCTGTTGAAGCATCTATAAAGTAAATATGCTTCAGCAAGACAGAATTTCTGCTTTTGTGTTTTCCAGGAAAATACATTTAAAAATCTATATTAAAAGTTAGGAAATGCTTGATTTTAAGAGTGCCTGTTCAACCTTAATTTGCTCTTCTTGTGCATATATATTATGATATAGTCTTCAATTATATGATCACATGCTTCCTTTTTCCTCCACAGAAACTGTCCCTAAATCAGGATGGATGGTATTCAGGGAATAAGATAATGGGAATTCTGAACATATAGGGTACGTCTAAACTACATGCCTCTGTCGGCAGAGGCATGTAGATTTGTTTGTTCAGCAAAGGTAAATGAAGCCATGATTTAAATGATCGCGGCTTCATTTACATTTACATGGCTGCCGCGCTGAGCCGACAAACAGCTGATTAGCTGTTTGTCGGCTCAGCGCAGCAGCCATGTAAATGTAAATGAAGCCGCGATCATTTAAATCGCGGCTTCATTTGCCTTTGCCTATGTGTCTAATCTTCATGCCTCTGCCGACAGAGGCATGTAGTCTAGACACAGCCATACAGTGCTATAAAAATGCTAAGTACTCTGATAAATCAGGCCTTAGATGTCTCAGGTTGGGCTCCAAAAATTAGTGAACACTTCTGAACTTAATCTCTCTGTGTTTAAGTTCTCCATCTGTAAAATGGGGATAATAATACCCCCTCACTGGAGGATTGCTTTATGTGCATGAAAATAAGTTTGTTGTTGTTTGTGAATCACTCAGTTAATATAGTGACAAGCACCAAATAAAAGCTAATAAGAAAATGAAATAGTTTGATATTTTATGCAGGGTTTGGACTAGTGGTGGGCAGCTTATGGCTCTCAGGCTCCATGTGGCCCAACAGGGTTCTGTGTGTTGCCCACAAGACATTTTGTTTACTGTTGCTCTCATGCAGGGTTGCCCAATTCCACTGATTTTCATCCACTTAGGTTTTTTTTTTTTTAACACTACCTGTATTATACTGGTGTGATATGCACATAAAGCCAGGGCATATAAAGCAAGTGATTGCATGCAACATTATGAAAGCCATGCATTCCCTCTGCATCCAATCAAAGATCTCCTATAGTTCAACTTGCACACCCTGCAAATTCTAGTATGCAAGCTCAGTTAGCAAAACTACCCTGTCCTGGGAATCAGTCTTGGATATGACAATTTTGCATCCCCCCGAGATGAAGAAAAATCACTCGTGTGGCCCACTCACTCACTAGCCTAGATTGCTTATTCAGGATTTGGATCATAATCATAATGGCAAATCCCAAAAAGATACGGCCTCCTTTCGTATTGTGTGTCATCTGGATTGGTCTCTGGTTAGTCCTAAAAGTGGTTTGGCTGGATTTTTAATTTGTGTCCATCACTGGTGATCTTATTCTGCCACTGAAGCTTTTCATGCCTATCTGAACATTGTCTGTATATCAGCATTCCTTGCAGGCTTCAGAATTTGTTGGTCTTCCAGTCTAGTAATACCTTAGTATGAAGGAAGCCACTAAAACTAAATCAGTGCTGATGGAGACTGTTGTTGAGTTCAGCTTTGAATAGCCTTATTTCTGATCTTGTCCTCCTACTTAATATGAAACAGCTGATGAAGACAGTGGGAAATGAAATCAGTCAAATGTTCTTCATCCTTCCTCAATGTAGATAGCATGCAGTAAATAAGTAGATCCACACAGTGAATGAAAAGTATATTTTTTTAATAACTATTTGGTCAGTAAGCACAATCCAAAACTGTGCACTGAGTGAGGCAAGAGCTACATGGAAAAAATAATAAATAGTCATACAATTCAAGACAGTGTCATAATGTGTGTACACATGGCGTGGGAGGGGAGTTTCGACTGCACAGGCAACTTCATGTCCGTCATTTCCTAGCATTTGCGTGCTTGAGAGTTTAATATTCTTGTATCATAGCTTTTATGTATATAATTGAGTAAAATATGCCAGTCATCAACATGGGGCTAGATAGTCACTAGCTATTGTGCAGGTATGTTGCAACAATAGTAAGGAATCACAAAGTCTCACTTGCCTCAAAGAGTGAACAAGCAAATTTTTAGAACAGGAGAAACAGTTTTCTGTAGAATTATTCTACCTCTTTCTCTATTTCACTGTACAGCTTTTGCCTAGAACTT